TTGGAGAAGGAAAGTTGGATAGATCCCCTTATGCAGGGATGCTCTGGCTTTTGGGATCTGGATTTGGGTCAGGGGGAGACTGGAGTTGTGGGGGCCTTTAGCTTTGGAGGGATTTTGAAACACGCTCTGAAATATCTTATGTACTTTAGTTTTGACTATGGAGAATGGGCTGACCTGTCGAGAAGGAATAAAGACATTGTTAGGTTGGAGTTTCCCCGAGATCTACTCCTCAGCGCCAAAGGAAGGAAATTAAGAACAAGATCAGCAGAAGATAAAGTTAAGTGCATGTATAAATATGAAGAAGATCTGCAGAAGGGACATGGAAAAGAGTTAAGAGCCTCGGACAGAAGATCACCAGGTTGATGGACCATATGGAATTGATAGAAAAGACTGACAGAATCCGAGACCAGGGAGAAGAGACGGTGAAAGAAGATTGGAAAAAAGTTTAAAATTTATTTAGAGAAATATTGTAAAATTAATGAGTGTTAGAAAAATGTTGGAATGAAATTACATGGCTTTAGTAGAAACGTTATAAGGAGTTAAGTTCAAATAAGTTTTAGGGCTTTAATGGTAAGATAAGGTTAAAATAAATCAAGACAATTAAATGACAGAAAACAGTGAAAGATGGAAAGGATTTGCTGAAATAATTAATAACTAGAATACAAAAAAGGGAGGTGTGAGGAGGTCGATGAAACAAGTTAATGAAAGACAAAGATATGGAAATATTGGATGTGTTTTTAATTGTTTTTGCTTTTGTTTTGATGTATTGTGTCTTTTGTTTTTTTATGTATTATTTGTATTGTTTACTTTTTCTCTTTTTTTACTTCTATCTGTAATCTTTAAACTTTTAATAATTTTTTTTTTAAAAAAAAGACTAAGGCCTTCAACACTGTAAATCACACTGCCCTGTGGACTGTCCTTCTGAAAATAAATTTGTGAACATCCTTTGGCTCCTCCATGATATGACAGCAAGATTCACAGATAACAATAACTCTCAAAGTGAACAGTAGGATCAGGTTTTAAACAGGGTTGTGTTATCACCCCAGCTCTATTTATTATTTTAATTGCCATGATCCTACACTTTGTCAAAGGGCAACTCCCCACGAGAATAGAAATCATACCGTATTGGCCCGAATATAAGCCGCACTCGAATATAAGCCACACCTTTAAAATTGGAGGGGGGGAATAAAAAAGGGGGGACCCAAATATAAGCCGCTCCATTCCTCACTGCTCCTGGCTGCATACTGGGGGTGGGGAGTCATGCTGTGTTGCCGGCAGCCTTTCCCCTTCCTCGCTCTCTCCCTTCTCTGGGGGACTACGAACGGGGTGGGAGCCGCTTTGCCGAGCTGCTGGCACTGTTTGCCCCGCACTCCTGGCTGCATACTGTAACGTCGTGAATATAAGCTGCACTTTACCTTTTCGCAGTCAGAATTTCAGAAAAAAGTGAGGGTTATATTCAGGCCAATACGGTATATTGAACAGATGAAAAGCTCTTTAACTTTAGTAGGCTGAAAGCAAAGAGTAAGGTTACCATAACTTCTGTCATAGAGCTTCAATATGCTGATGACAACATAGTGTGTGCACACTCAGAGGATGACCTCCAAACCATCCTAAATATCTTCGCAGAAGCTTACAAAAAGCTTGGCTCATCGCTCAGCATCCAAAAACCCAAAGTGCTGCACCAACAAGTACAAAACAACCCCTCTGCAGCACCACAAATCCAACTCAATGGTGTAACGTTGAAAAGTGTCAATCACTTCTCCGATCTGGAGAGTTATATTTCCACAAGGGCTGACATTGAAGCCAAAATCCAGCTTCGCCTAAACTCGTTGAGTACAGCTTTCTCCTGATTAAAGTGCAGAGCGCTTGAGGACCGGGACATTCGCAGGGAAACCAAAATGCTTGTTTACAAAGCTATTGTACTACCAACCTTACTGTATGCTTATGAAACATGGACCACTTATAAGTGCCATCTCCAACTCCTCGAAAGTTCCCATCAACAGTGTCTCTGAACAAATTGACACATCACTTAGGAAGACAGGCAAACTAATGGAAGAAGCAAAGATCACTAGCAATGATTCCTCAGCATCAACTTTGCTGGACTGGTCATGTTGTGCAGATGCCTGATTATTGTCTTCCAAAGCAACTACTCTATTCCGAACTTAAAAATGGAAAGTGTAATGCTGTGGTGTTCAACAATAAAGGTTTAAAGACTTTCTCATAGCAAATCTTTTTTAAAAAAATAATGCAGTATAAGCATGGATGATTGAGAAACATCGGCCTGCGAGAGCTCCAATTGGAGAACAGCCTTTACCAAAGGTGTCATGGACTTTGAAGACGCTTGAACTCAGGACAAAAGGGAGAAACATGTTAAGAGGAAAGCATGCTTGGCAAACCCTCACCATGAACAACTCCTGCCCGGAAACCAATGTCCCCACTGTGGAAGGACCTGTGGATCCAGAACTGGCTTCCACAGTCACTTACAGACTCACTGTTAAAACCATGTTCATGGAAAACAATCTTCCTTGGCTACAAGGGATTGCCAAAGTACTGTAGGTCAGCACCCACTGGTTGATCCCCCTTCCTTTCCTTACTATGGCTGGAGCTGAGTCAGGGTCTCCAGCCTCCAGGATGCTGCTATTTTGCAGAGGAATCCAAGCACAACTGGGCACAATGCAAGCAACCTGAAGCACCTGTCACTTGAGCAGAGCAAATTCCCTTTATCTGTCCTTTAAAGAAACCGCGAAAACCAGTTTGGAAAGTGGAATGCCCTGGGAAGTGTGGGGTGAGCTGCTGATTTGATCAGAAGATGGAGAACCACCCTGTAATTGGATGGAGAAGGGTCATTGTGAAAAAGATGGTTTTGAGCAAGTAGGCATCAGCTGGTGCAGAGGGAGGAGGATGTCGCCCCCCCCCCCGAAGAGCCTCTTGCTGCCAGAGCAGAGACAGAGGCCACCTGTGTTACCTGCTTATCATTATGGATGAGAACAAGAGATCATTGTCATCCGGCAGCCTTTGATTCTCTGCAGCTGAGATGAGTCACATTCAGGTTCCACCAGTGGAGCCTTTGAACTGGCTGGGATGGGAGCCCCCCCCCCTCCACCCTCTCTGGGCGCCCTGCCAGGCCACCCATTGTCCATCTCCATTTCGCTGCCAGCAAAGGGGCCCGGCAGCCCCGAGGAGCCCAGGAGGCTCCCTGAGGAGTTGTAGCACCAATAGCTGAACACTGGGAGCAAGGCAGAAGTGCCCCCCCCCAGAGGGGGGAAGGGCCCCCTGGATGCACTAGGCCAGGATCAGGGGGAAACCTCACAAAAAAGAAAGCCATGCTTCTGCAAATAAGCAATTTCCTGGCATGGGAGAAGTGGCTGAAGGTGCTGCTGCCTGAATGTAGAACCTTCTGCTGGCAACATAGTCCTCTCCCCAGGGCCAAAGGACGTCACCACATCCTTGTCCAGGAACTCAGAAACCTGCAAGCCTGGGTCACAGCTTTCATCTGTGAAGCAAGAGGGAAGCTCTCAAAAGTGCATTTTGGGGTGCGGTGATTTGTTTCTCCAGAAACCTGTATCAATGCTGGCTCCTTTCCAAATCTCCTGCGGACACCCCCACCTGCAAACAACACTGTGCTCCACGGCTCTGATAAGCAGCTAGTCCTGAAAGAGGAAGTGGAAGATGGCAGACAAGGCCCTAGCTGAGTGTTGTCATTTTCCCCTCCCTGGATCACACATTTTCAAAGCCTGCCATCCTTCCTTCTCCTTCAAAACTGGCATTTCTGGTTTCAGGGCTCCCCTGGGCCATTGCGGTAACAGTGGGGCTGCCCTGAACATCCCTTTCAAAAGCCAGGCAGTAACCCAAGAAGAGAGGTCAGCTGTGCAGAGCTGCTGCCTAGAGCCAGATTTGAGAGGCGGCGGCGGGACGGGGAGTACAGCATGTACCAAAGGACAGCTGCAGTCACGTAGCACCCTCCCTGGGACGGACGGGATCTTTCTGCAGGGTTCCCCCTTAAACCTGTGGTTGCCACAATAGAATGCCTCCTCGCCATTTTTGCCCCAGTGAAATTTTTTGTTGTTGAATTCAGGGCTTCCTGAGCAGGAATAAATGGGGCCCAGAGAAGACGCTGCCGTGGGGAATCCCAGCAGAAGAGGCAGCTGCTGGATGAGGCCAAGGGGGGTCCTGCCTCACCCCGCGGCCGACCAGGTGCTTCAATGGGAACCCTGCCAGCAGGATCAGAGCCACTCCTCTCCTGTGACTTCCAGGGATTATTAGGTTGTCTTTGTTCTCATTTCTATTCTGTACTTTGCTTAAATGGCAATTTTATATTGTGAACAGCCCTGCGATCTACAGGTACAGGTCGATAGACAAATTTGGCCAACAGTTAAAATAAAAAATGCAGCTCCCCTTTGCCAGTCAAGGCGGAATTGAGTGGGCAGGGGGGAATTGAGTGGGCAGGGGATAGTTGAGTGGGCAGGGGGGAGTTGAGTGGCAGGGGGGAGTTGAGTGGGCAGGGGGGAGTTGAGTGGGCAGGGGGGAGTTGAGTGGGCAGGGGGGAATTGAGTGGGCAGGGGGGAGTTGAGTGGGCAGGGGGGAGTTGAGTGGGCAGGGGGGAGTTGAGTGGGCAGGGGGGAGTTGAGTGGGCAGGGGGAGTTGAGTGGGCAGGGGGGAATTGAGTGGGCAGGGGGGAGTTGAGTGGGCAGGGGGGAGTTGAGTGGGCAGGGGGAGTTGAGTGGGCAGGGGGGAATTGAGTGGGCAGGGGTCCCAAAGGCCAACCCACTAAGACCACTTGCCCTTGTGGAGAAACTCCACCCCCCTCCCTTTTGCAGAGGCCAACGTCCCCTCCCTGCCTGACGCAGGAGAGGGGGCCTCTGCCTGCGTGGCGCCTGGGGGTATCCCAGCAGCCTAAACCACCCCCTCCACCTCCCTAGGAGATGCTGAGAGGAGCTTCAAGAACCAGAAGACCCCCAGATGGGATGGAGGGGGTGAACAAACAGACTCCGGAGCCCAGACTGTGTCCACGACTGATGCTTTGTCAAGTTTATTCTCCCAACCGGCTTTTGTAAAATAAAAGTCCCATATACGTTATTTATAAAATGGCTTAAATTAAGGCATAATCCTGCAGTGTCTAAGACAAGCGTCCATCATTCTGCACAAGCAAAAGGGGAGGGGAAGGAAGCCCCCCCTCCAGACCCAGGAAGGGGGAGGTGGTGGCTGCAGCCCCCCCGAGATGTGCTCTGCAGAAGCCGGGAGATGTGGCAGAGCTGCTGCATCTGAGTCCAGAAAACAAAAAAAGGGTCACCAACAACAAGCGACATGATATAATAGGAGGGGGGAGAGATACACAGAAAGACCCACAGAGGGGAAAGGGCCCCCCCAAAAGAGACCCAGATAGGAGGGAGGGGGTGTCCACACAGGATCAGCCCCCTCCTCCCCCAGGGCTGGGCTGCCCTGTTGCCAAAGGTGGGAGAGGGGGGTGTCTCACGCAGAAGATTCCCAGAGCAGCTCCAGAGCGGACCAGCGCCCCCCACAGCACAAGCTCTGAGGTGGTGCCCCCAAAGGAAGGTGGAGCAGACCCTTTCCAGTGGCCTTTGCAGCCAAAGTGTGCGGTGGGAGGGCAAATGAAGCAAAGCGAATGGCAGAAACCAGAGATCCTTTGGGGGGGGGGGAGAGAAGCTCTTTTGGAAGCAACAGAATCCAGCCCAGACACGGCCAGAAATGAAGCAGGAAGCGGGGTGGGGGTCCCCTCCTCTCTTCACCACCCAGTGATCCTAAAGCAACGCCAGCACAATCCATCCCCCCCCCAAGCTCAAAATACTGCCTATGTTTTCCTAGGAAAAGTTATCTGAATACTATCCCAGCATCATGAAACAGGAAGGGAAAGGCTTCTGCTATTTTGCTTTTAAACTATCGCTGAAATTCTAACCGGGACCTTCATTAAGCACCATATTTGGGGAAGGGGGGATGCCAGAAGTGAAGCGCCTGTCCTCTTCTTCACACGCAGTTTCCCGGCGCTCGATGGCCAAAGGAACGTGGTGCGCGTCGGTGCTGGGTGCGAAAGGCGGCAGAGTCTGTCTCATAGTTAGTCTCAAGTTAGTCTGCGATGGGGAAGGGAGGGAGGGATGGGGGTGAAAGGGGTCTCCTAGTCAGAGGGGCTCTTGATCCCGTCCTCCCAAGCGCCAGGCCCTTCTATATGGGGCGGCTGTGGGGAAGCCTCTGTGGGCTCAGTCTGTGCAGCTACCGCCTCCTCCTGCTCCTCTCCCAGGAAGGGGGCAGAGCCAGACGCCTCTCCTCCGTCGTCCACGGGGCTGCCGCCACCGACCATCTCTTCCACGGGAGTCGGGGTGGCTGGTTGGTCCTTGGCTTCTGGGCCAGACGACGGAGAAGCCTCCTCCTTGGGGGCCGCAGGGCAGCTGACTGGGGAGATCACCAAGGGGGGCTGAGGTAGGTCTTTCTATAAGCAGGAGCAGCCCCACATTACGGGGGGGGGGGGAGGAGAGAGAGAGAGAGAGAGAGAGAGAGAGAGAGAGAGAGAGAGAGAGAGAAGGGTAACTACAACACAGCCGTGCTTTTGTGCAGACGCTCTCCTCATCCAGCCCAGGACACCCAGGAGTGTCCAGCTCCCCTCTAGACTGGCCCAAATGGAACCAGGGGGGCTGCTAGGATAGGCCTGAGCTCATGCAGTTCACCCAGGCCAGCCCCATCTCCACTTCCAAGCCTGACACCAGCCTTTTGAGGGCATCTGAGGAGTCCAGTGGCTGGATCCTGCCCCAGGCCCACCCAGATGAGCATTCAGTCCCACCCCCCAGAGGAAGCCCCCCCCCCATGTGACGGCAGCAACTCTCCCCACATGGGAGCCCTGGGTGGTGGCACTACAGAGGCAGCTGGACTCTGGAAGGCGGAAGGGCTCCTGCTTGCGGGCTTCCCTTGGGGGCGTCCAGCTGGGCTCAGGGGAGCCCTCAGGCCTGATCCAGCATCACCCATGAACGCCTCTTGCCCCTTTCCAAGACGGCACCCCTCTGCCCCCCGCCCGAGTGACGGAGAAGAACTGTGGAGCTGGAAAGGGACCCTGAGGGTCGTCTAGTCCAACTGCATGCAATGCAGGAATCACAACATGTGGGGAGGAAAGCTGGCCATCTGTGGCTTCTCTGCCCCCCCCCATGTGCCATCCTCCCGCACCCCAGCCATGAATGGTGGCCTCCTTTTGGGGGAGGAGGGAGGTCTGCAAAAGCCACTTCCAAAAAACTCCCTTTTGGGGGGTGGAGGATAATGCCAACAAGAGTTTTACTCAACTTTAATTCTAGTTAGGGGGCTTTTAGCCTAACACTGGCCTTTTCTGGAGGAGACTCATATCAAAGGGGTATTCACCGCAAATCCGCTGCCCGTCCAGAACATGGGCAGCTCCTTGCGCCAGAGCGCCACCACGAAGCTGGTGAGGAGTGTGGACGGCACCAGGTACAGCAGCGCCGGCTGCCCCTTCTGCATCAGAGCGAGCGCCACAAATGTCACCAGGAGGCCCAGGCCGTAGGCTGCAGTGGGAGACAGGGGAGAGAAGGCGGGGCTCCTTTTCAGCTGGCAGTCACCCAGAAAGGGCCCCCTGCCTTTCTCATCTCATCTCATCTCATCTGTGGGTAAATTCTCACGTGGGAATAAACACCTCTGCCCCTTCCAGCTCTGCTTCAAGGATTTATGGAACATAATAAATTATAATGGAAAGGCAGGAAAACTCAGCACAGAGAATCGTTCCTCCTCTCTGCTCTTCAGCCATCTGGACAGAGGAGCAGTTAGGGCTGGGCAATATTTGGCTTTCAATTTTGTGATATATCACCAGCTAAATATTGTGACAGACTGAGTGTTATGATGTCTGAAATGAGGATGGAGCTACAGAGAGGCTTCGGCTGGCTTTACAGTTTTTCCGGCATCAGTATTTTTTGCATAGCTATGCTATGCATACACCCACATCATGATTTGTGATATATTACCAGGTCAAAAATTATGGAACCGATATCACGAGAAGAATGTCAAGCTGATTTTGGATATTATATCAATTATCACCCAGCCTATAACAGTCACCACCCTTCTCTCCTTCAGAGCCTAATAAAGAAGTCGGATGCTATGGGAACCCCGTTGCTGGGAGAAAACTTGCTGCTAGGGGCAAAACAATGCAGGGATCCTTTCCAGACTGCACTAACACTGTCAGTCCTGTTGCACACGTGGAGATGGGCTGCACCCAGAGGGCTCCCAAGGGACCTGATCCACCCACAAGAGAGCCACTTCTCAGGACAAGAGCTGAAAGGCGGCACTGTCACTGAATTTACTGGTAGGCTCTGCAGTTTGAGGCTCTGCACAGCTGCTGCTTTCAGCACAGCTCATGGCAGGAACGTGGCACATAAATGAACTCCACCAGTCCAGGGTGGGGCGAGAGGTAAGAAGAAGGGTTTCCCAAGGGTGGAGGAGGAGGCAGGTGTTGGCAAGGATTGGGGGGGGGAGCCAGACATACCAATGGTGCAAGCGACAAAATAGACCCGGGAGGACTGGACCTGGATGTCAAAGCGATGGCAGTAGGCCACCAGGAGCCCTGGGGAGGAAAGAGGAGGGAGCCTGAGGCAAGGGAAGGAGTGACAAGGCCAAGCAGGGACACTCCCTGGAGCCCCCCCCCCAGCATCCCCCCAGTGGAGCAGCAGGGAGGCTGTGTCCCTCTGGCCTGGCCCTCAAAGGTAGACTGCCTCTAGGAGCAGCTATTCCCTTGAGCTGCCTCAAGGGAGAGGGCAGCATCCCCACTGGACCAGCCCCAAGGGACCCGGCCCTCTCCTCTGCCGGTCCTTCTCTTAGGGCCAGGCTGAGGGGCTCTTCCTTGCCTTCTGCAGGCCGAGCGGGGGCTCAGCCCCAAAGCCACCTCGCCCCCCAGCAAGGTGGGAAGGGAGAGGGCCTACCTGGAACCAGAATGTCCCCGAATCCCAGGAGGGAGAAGGGTCGGTCACACAGTGCCAGCGGAGAGAAGTTGAGTCGGGGCACCTTCAGCACCATTGGAAGCTGCCGGGGGAAGGGGGTCCATCCAGGTCAACAAGAAGCCCCTCTGCTGTCCCAAACGGGGCCAAAGCTCCCACAAGCCCTTGCCCCACAGAGGAGGGTATCTGGCATTTGAGGCAAGGAGGGGGCGACAGGGGATGGCACAACCCAAAGCCCCCTGGAGGAACCCCAGAAGTGCCTCTTCTCAGGCCTGACCAGAACCCAAAACTGAACCTGCCTGCTCTCCAGGGGTGCTTCCCTCATGGTGGAGGAGTCTCTGGGCCATTCGGCGTCTAGTTCCGATGGGGTGGGGATATCCTGCACCCACTACGTGTGTGGACCATGACCCCCCCGACCCCGCACAGCCTCTGGCCTTCTCCCAGGCTCATCCTGCATTGCCTCCATTTTGTCCACCAGGAAGAGGCCATCTCCCCCTACCAAAACCCAGGACGCACCTTTTCATGAGTGGCGGAGTCTGTCGGGCCAGCAGCCACTTCCACCATGATGCTCTCTCCTGTCTGGAAGGAAAATGTGAGGAGGGGCAAGAGGACAAAAAAGAAAGAGGCCTGGGGGAAGAGGAATGTTTTTGCCTGGTGCCTGAAGACATGCAATGAGGGTATCAGGCGAGCCTCTCTGGGGAAAGAATCCCCATCGGAGAATCGGGAAGGGGCTTCCGATGGCCCCAGCGGAAAGACTCAGCCCAACTCTGACTCCTCCCAATCAGCCCCGCACCCCCATTTGCAATGCCCACCCTGTCAGGCCAATTATGCACCTTCGTCAAGTATGGCGTGATGAAAACGAAGAAGACGTCGTAGACAAAGAGGACCAGGAGGAGCAGCGTGCAGCCCTGGGGGGCAGGAGGGAAAGGGAGGGGTGTCATTCCTAGAGGCTCACTGTTGATTCTGCCTTCCCCCCTCACCCAGGTTGGCTTTCTTCTGGCTCTTGAGTCGCAGAGTACATTGAGAGGTAGCCTCAGGCCAAGCCAGGAGGCCCATGTCAGCCTCCCTCCCCACCGTCCTGGGGATGAGCCCCCCCCCCAAAGCCTTACCTTGAAGGTGGGCAAGCGGATGGTCTTGAGCATGTAAAGGCAGAAGGCAACTCCCAGGGCGTCCTGCAGAATCCAGGCCCACCTGGGGGAGGAATGGCCATGGCTCAGGGCAGAGGGCAAATAGCCCTACCCCCTCCAACAGCCGAGGGAGAAGGGTCAAGCCACTTCCCCTTGGGCTCTCTCCGGTCGCCCTTCCTCCCCCCAACCCACTTCCTCTCAAGAAAGAGTCCCCATGGCCAGCTGGGGTGGGGGGTTCTGGACATTCCCTCCGCCCTTTGACACGTCCCATTTCGCCCTGTGCCCAAGAGGACACTGCAGAGCTGGAGAAGGGGAAGAGCAGAGGAGGAAGTTGCTTTCTGGAGCAACTGATGCAGCTGAGGGGTGCAAAATAGCATGTGGGGGGAGCAAGGGGCTCTTCGAAGGGACAGGTGCCCCCCCCACCAAGGGGAGAGCACGAAAAGCACCGCATCACTCACTGGTCCTCATTGCGGAAGATGCCCCAGACCAGGCTGACGGCAACGCAGAAGACAGCCAGGAGCAACATGCGCACTTGGGGGCGCTTGTGGAAGTAGGGCAGGTTGTTGTCAGGGACCCTGAGGACAAGAGGCGGGGTGAGAGGCCTGCACCCCACTTGGCAAGTGGGAGAGGGACCTCTTGGAGCCTCCACCCCAGAGAGCTGCCTGACGCCGAGTCAGGCCTGTTCCATTGAGCGCAGATCTGCCCCCACAGGCTGGCAGCAGCAGGTCTCCAGGGAAGGAGTTTTTGCTCAGCCTGAGTTGGAGATGCTACTACTGGGGAGCCTGGCACCTTCTGCATACCAAGCAGGTGCTCCATGCCCACGGGCAGAGTCTCCAGGGGAGGAGGTGCTGGGGAAAAGCCTTCCCTGCCCGAGGCCACAGCCCGAGAGCTGCTGTCAGTCAAGGTCACCAAGCCAAGGTCACCAAACTCAGCAGACAAACTATTTTTTTCTATTCTATGGGCTCAGGTATGCTTAAAAAAGACAACCTTCCTTCCTCTTAAGTTGCTCAGTGCCACCCACTCAACCCCCTTCCCCCCACGCTTGGTGTGGAGGCTTTTGAAAACCAAGGGGAAAGGGGTTGGGGGCCAATCCAGCAGCCCCCACAAACAGGGGCACAGCTCTGACGTCTGCAGATATAGGGCAATACACGCATTTAATAAATAATAATAAATGGCTGCGCTCAGGGTTCATGCCCTTCATTTTTTGTCCTGGGGCAGGACTTTCAGCTCTTCTATGTAGCTCAGAACAGCCCCCACCACTCTCTTTGTCTGACCTGTGCAAGAAAAAGGCAAAAAGATCTCAGAGATCCCAGCAGAAGGAAGCAAATACAGCCAGACCTGCCTTGCACCGATTCAAAACCCCACAAGTCAACTGCTCTTGGAAAGGGCATTTGTGCACTTGCAAAACGCAGAGGGTGGGTTTTCTGCCTGATTGCCAGGGGTGAGATCTGATGAGGCACTGTCTTTCATTGCTTTCATCTTTCTGCAGTGGAAGTGAGGACCTTTCTGCAACAACAAGATCCCTTTTCTTGTCCAGATGAGTCAGCTGTGAGTCGGGAGGGAGCCCACAGAGCCACGGAAGAGGGGATCCCGCCCTGCCCCACATGTACAAGGAGGAGCAAGAGATCCACGTCTTGCCCATCTAATGCATTTAAGAATTCAGAGCTTGTTTCCTAGATACTGGCTGCTAAACAAGACCAGCAGCAACAAAAACCAACAGCCCACACACATTAATATTTTGCAGCCAGGAAAATACAAATATATCAGAGAGGGAAGGATAAACCACAGCTGCTCCCAAGTCCCAAAGGAGGAGGGTTTGGGGTTCTGTCCAGCCCCCCACTAGCATTCATGCTCTGATAACCTGATTCTTTCCACGGGGGGGGGGCAGGCAGGATTTGAACCCAGTCCACTGGCGCCCGCAAGCTTCATGTGCCAGGGCCACTTAGCCAAAGGTGGCAAAGCAAGACTGTCTTCTGCCTCCTACCTGCATTTCCCCAGAGGAAACCTTCGGACAAACGGGGAGAGGCAGCTGTAGAGGCCGATGGAAGCCGCCAGGCAGAAAATCCCAATGATGGCATACACTGCAGGGGGGAAAGGGGACAAGGAAAGATGAATGAAGACAAGGGGCTGGAGAGAGGCTGAACAGCACCGAGAGGCCAGCGCAAGTACCTAGGTGGTCGTAGAAGTAATAGAGCAGGACGAGCATTGAGCAGCACATGACCACAAAGACACAGATCATGATGGGGGTGACGTCCACTGTCTCGTCCTCGTGCTTCTCCACTCCGTCATCCCGTTTGTGCTTCATGTACCGCCTGCAAGGGAGACGAGATGAGGTCAGCCGAGGCTGGAGGTGCTTGCTGGTACTGCACCACTCATGGAGGGGCCAACCGACAAGAGGGGAGGCATCCTATGAGGGCTCAGCAACCCTAAAATGATGCTCAGGGCTGCTGGCCTCTCCCCCCCCCCCAGCAAAGCAGGGCCTGTCTCCATGCTTCACGAAATCATTTGCAGCCATGAGATGTGGATGTTAGCCAATGGCTCCATGGGAAACGCATGGAGGAGGCAACCTATCAGGCTATTTGAGAAGTCATGAGAGGAACACCTAGCAGTGACTCCCTCCAAGAGCTCAATGATTGGGCATGGATGCAAGGAATCCTACGAATCCTGGATCCTGTGCTGCCTCGACCTCACCAAACACCTTCTATGTATTCCCAGGGGCTGGTGCCTTGGACTTAGCAGGTGGCAGTTTCTTCAGAGGTCCCCCATGTTTTGATTCCAGAGAGAGCCGCTCTGAACAGCCAAGAATGCAGGATGAGCCCCATGGCACTGCAGGGAGCTGGGCTGGATGACCCTTAGGGGCTTCTACTGGCCCCCTGCCCCAACTCACTTCTTGACATCCCTGCTCCCTGCCCAGTAGCCTCCGACGGCCACCGTCCCCACAGCCATCACGAAGATGATCACCATGTTGTAGTCCAGGACTGGCTCGTTGGGGGCATACATGGCCACCTTGACCGAGGGCCCAAAGCTCTGAGGAAGAGGGAGAGAGAGAAGGGAGCTCAGCTGACCCTAAAAAAGAGTTGCTCCAGGAAAGAGCTACCCTCCGGGGAACAGGACGTCCTCCAGGAAATGCCAGTGTGTGACTGGCCTTGGGGGCCCCAAAAGCAGTGCTGCCCCCAATGCCCCTGTGACCCTGACTGGGAACGCGGACGGGGTCTCACCCTGCCAATATCCAGCATGTCCGCGTAGCTCAGCAGAGCCACTGGGATGTCGATCTCCTCATACTGACTGCGGTTGCCGGCCGGCGGGACCTGGAGGGAAGGAGGGGGAAGAGCAAAGTGATGCCACACACGCCCCACCCTCCCAGCCTGCCCATCCCCAAAGCCAAATGGTGAGTCAAACTCAGAAGTGCATGGGGCCACAGGAAGAGACTGAGATAGACCAATTTTTAAAAACTAATGGACTACTAAAATTAACTCAAGAAAAGAGAACAATCCTGAATGGTAAAATAACACAACAGGAAATAGAGGGTGCCATCCAGAATATGCAACTGGGCAAATCTCCAGGCCCTGATGGACTTACCTCCAAATACTATAAGACATTAAAAGACTACTTGATACAACCACTAATGGAGGTTTGTAACCAGATTATGGAGGGGAAGAAGGCACCGGAAACGTGGAAAGAAGCTTTCATCACACTGATTCCTAAATTGGAAACTGAAAAGACTCAACTTAAGAACTACCGTCCCATCTCACTCCTAAATGTGGATTACAAAATTTTTGCAGACATTTTGGCAAGTAGACTTAAAAAAGTACTTAATGAAGTAATTCATAAGGACCAGGCAGGCTTTCTCCCAGGTAGACATTTGTTTGATAACACTAGGAACATTATTGATATTTTGGAACTTTTACAAGCAAATATCAACACTAGAGCAGTGTTAATTTTTATTGATGCGGAGAAGGCCTTTGACAACATTTCTTGGATGTTTATGAAGAAAAACGTGGAAGGGATGGGAGTGGGACGGGGGTTTGAAAATGGAATAGAAGCAATCTATTCAGAGCAAAAGGCCAAACTGATAGTGAACAATGTGGTGACAGACGAGTTCAAAATTGAAAAAGGGACACGACAGGGGTGCCCCTTATCCCCTCTTTTATTTATCTCAGTCCTGGAGGTGCTCTTGAACATGATTAGAGAGGACCGGTTGGTGCAAGGAATAGAGGTCGGAGTGAAACAATATAAATTGAAAGCTTTTGCAGATGATCTGGTCTTAACATTACAGGAGCCAGAATCTAGTACAAAAAGAGCTCTAGAGCTGATACATGAGTTTGGTCGGGTGGCGGGTTTCAAGCTGAACAAGCAAAAAATCAAGGTTTTGGCAAAAAAATCTATCAGCATCAGAAACAGATGGGTCTCAGAAAGAGACAGAATTAAGTGTGGTTAAAAAAGTGAAATACCTAGGGGTTCATTTGTCTGCTAAAAATTTGAATTTATTTAAAGATAACTATGAGAAATGTTGGACAGAAATCAAAAAAGATTTAGAAATTTGGTCAAGATTGAAACTTTCCTTGTTGGGTCGAATTGCAGCTATAAAAATGAATGTATTGCCTAAAATGTTATTTTTGTTCCAAACCCTACAGATCGTGGACAGAGTAGTGTGTTTTGGAAAGTGGCAGAAGGATATTTCTAAGTTTGTTTGGCAGGGCAAAAAGCCCCGAATAAAGTTTAAAATACTAACTGACTCAAAAGAAAGAGGGGGGTTTGCCCTGCCAGATTTAAGGTTGTATTATGAAGCTGCAGCCTTCTGCTGGATGAAAGATTGGCTACTTCTTGAGAACACTGATGTCCTAGATCTGGAAGGGTTTGACAACGCTTTTGGTTGGCATGCATATCTATGGTACGACAAGGTAAAAATTCACAAGCTTTTCAAAAACCATATTGTCAGAAGATCAATATTTATGGTCTGGATAAAATACAAAGACTTATTAGAAGGCAAGACCCCGAGGTGGCTATCACCAATGGAGGCCAAGGCTAGAAAAAGACCCAATATGGAGGCCAGTTGGCCGAAATACTGGGAGATAATAGAAAAAAATTGGAGACAGTTGGAAGTTGAAGAGCTTGGAGAAATTAAAAAACAAGGTGCGAGATTGGTTACATTATGCTCAAATTCAAGAGGTTTTTAAATTGGACAAAAAAATAGGGTTCCAGGTGGAAAAATCGAAATTAGAGACAGAACTGTTAGAACCAAAGACTAAGGTACTTTCGAGAATGTACAACTTGCTGCTTAAATGGAACACACAAGATGAGACAGTTAAATCTGCCATGATAAAATGGGCACAGGATATTGGGCATAACATCATGTTTGAGGACTGGGAAAAGTTATGGACCACCGGAATGAAATTCACGGCATGTAATGCCCTGAAGGAAAACATTATGAAAATGATATACCGGTGGTACATGACCCCAGTCAAGCTTGCTAAGATATATCACCTGTCTGATAATAAATGTTGGAAATGTAAGGAGGCTGAAGGGACCTTTTTTCACCTCTGGTGGACATGCCCGAAAGTGAAGGCCTTCTGGGAAATGATCCATAATGAGTTTAAAAAGGTATTTAAATATACCTTTGCTAAGAAACCGGAAGCCTTCCTCCTGAGTATTGTCGGCCAGAAAGTGTTAAAAAAGGATAGAACTTTCTTTATGTACGCAACCACAGCAGCAAGAATACTTATTGCAAAGTATTGGAAGACACAAGACACACTGGAAGACACACTGGAGGAGTGGCAGACGCAACTGATGGACTATATGGAACTGGCTGAAATGACTGGCAGAATCCGAGATTTGGGAGAAGAAACAATGGAAGAGGACTGGAAAAAATTTAAGGACTATTTGCAGAAACATTATAAATTGTATGAATGTTAAAAATGTGCATGATTTGGAAATTATAGCTTCAGCAAACTGATTTAGTGAATTGGAAATTAAGTTATAAGAAAGACAAGGTGGAAACTTGAAATAATTTTATTATGTTTATCTTAAGGTACAAGTAATGGAGAAATAATATTTTGAATCTAGAAACATAATATTTGAAGGATACAGTAAGGTATGAAATAAGGTAACAAATTGCTGATGTTTTTATTGCAAAGAACGCTGGGTTCGGAAGATGCGAGGAAGTCCAGTTGGATTTACAGAAACGATCTGAAAAGTTGAATTTTTTAATCTTTCTTTTTGCTTTTTCTATTTTCTTTCTTTATGCTTACAATACTGAATATGTGAAAATCCAATAAAAATTTATATATAAAAAAAAACCTCAGAAGTGCATGCAGGCCCCAATCCTCCTCTGTTTACCCCAGGCCACCCAGCTGACATGACTCATCCCCAGCCTAGCGCATCAATGGCTGCTGCGCATTTGGGGGCAAAACGCATCACAAGAGCAGCAGCAGGAGGGGGGAGGGCGCCTCCCAGCCCCAGAAGAGGAGATGAACGGCTTCCTTAGAACTCTTAATTGTTCAGAAAAGATTTTGAAGGGGGACATTAATCTCAGAAGAAGGGACGCCATGCAGAAAGCGAAGAAAATTAAAAAGGAAAGTCAGATGAGTAGAACCGCACAGCCAAGGAGAAGGCAGAGATGGAGCTGAATGCCCAGGAGGGGGCAGAATGCCTGCCAGGCCAGGGATGGGAGATGCAATTGCAACCTGAGGAAGGGCTTTAGAAAATAAGAAACTAGGCCAAGAATTTGTCTCCTCAGGTATTAAAAAGAAACGATATGGGATGCAGGTAAAGCCTTCATAAGAGGTTTTCATGAAGCACTCAGCCAGTATTGTAACACATGGCTACAATACTACCAAATTGATCACCTATTCAAGAAGGATAAAATCATTGGATTTGGCAAAGAATAATCAAAATTACAAACAGAATTACAAAAAAACCCAAAAAAGATATTATATAAAATATACAATTTGTCATTAGAATGGGAATTAAAAGATGAAGGAAGTTATGATTAAGTGGGCCAGAGACAAAGGCCACGGGATCCGATTAGACCAGGGAGAAATTATGGAGAAATGACATCAAATTCACAGCTTGCTTCACAATCAGAGAAAATATAATGAAAATGATGTATCAGTGGTATTTACCGTATTTTTCGCCCTATAGGGCGCACTGGCCCATAGGGCGCACCTCAGTTTTTTGGGGGGAAATGAATTTTTAAAAATTATTCCCCCCCCCCCAGCCACGGGGCTGGGGCGGGGGAAGCCAGAGCTTCCCCCGACCCCAGCCCCCAGAACAGGCTGCTATCCGCAAGCCTTGCGAGCCCGGCAGCAACCATCGGGCTCGCAAGGCTTGCGGATAGCTTCCTGAAGCCTGGAGAGTGAGAGGGGTCGGTGCGCACCGACGCCTCTCGCTCTCCAGGCTTCAGCGAAAGCCTGCATTCGCCCCATAGGACACACACACATTTCCCCTTCATTTTTGGAGGGGGAAAAGTGCATCATATAGGGCAAAAAATACGGTAACTCATGTCAAATTGGCAAAAAATTATAAATCAAAATCTAATTTGTGCTGGAGATGCAAAACAGAAATAGGAACAATGTATCATATGTGGTGGGAGTACATGTATATCAAACAATTTTGGAGTAACATCCAAGAGAAATTTTTTAAATGCTTAAAATATCATGTAATAAAAAACCAGAGGCCTTCCTCTTGGGAATTATATTGACTGACAATCCTGCTGCTAGGAAAAAAGTTTTCTTATATGCAACTGCTGCTGCCAGAATTATTATACCAAATAATTTGAAGAAAAAAAACCTCAATAAGAGAATGGCAAATAAAATTTTGTGAATACATAGAACTGGCAAGACTTACAGCAGTGATAAGAGGACAATCAGATCAAAAACTGATAGATGAGTGGATCTGTGTGAAGGAGTTCTGGTATAATTCTGGTATAAATATATCAATACACAATGAATGAAATTTATAGAGTAAAAGACAAAGAAGAAATGGACATGAGGAGGTAGTTAAAAATAATACTGATAGCACAGCGAAAAGAATAAAAGAAATAAAGGAAGTCATACACGGGTGGAGGGGAGTCAAGATTTATGTATTCATGTTTAGTTTATTTTGTAATTTAAGCTGATTTTTTTGTTATTGTATGTTTAATTGTTTTCTTTTTTCGGTATTAAGTAGCTGTATGTATAATAGGTTTGTTTTGTGTTTGTGAGTATGGCGTTTACCAATAAAAAATCTATCTATCTATATATAAAAGCAATTGCAACCTGACTGGGCAGGGGAGGTGAGAAGGGCAGAAGGAATAGTGCAGGGGGTCGGCAGGGGTCCTAGCCACAAGCCTCAGGTCATGGCAGCTAATGGAGCCTCCGGCTTCAGAGGCAGAATGCCTGGGGGCAGCAGAAAGCTGCTGCCTTCGCTCTCATCTGAGGCACGGAAGTAAGAGGGTGCTTGAGTAGATTCTGAGCACAATTCAAAGTGTTGGTGCTGACCTTTCAAGCCCTAAGTGGCCTCAGCCCTGTAGACCTGAAGGAGTATCTTCACCCCCATCATCCAGCCCGGACACGGAGATCTTCTGGGGGTTCCCTCACTACAATTAAGTGAAGCCACAGGGAGCCAGTGGTCGGATAGTTTTGCGAAGCTACCAGCATGAGTTTGACCAAACTGCGGGAGGCACTGGAAGACAGAAGTGCCTGGCGTGCTCTGGTCCATGGGGTCACGAAGAGTCGGACATGACTAAACGACTAAACAACAACAACGGGGAGCCAGGCAGAGGGCCTACTGATTTGTGGCGCCCACCCTGTAGAACACCCTCCTGTCAGATGTCAAGGAGATAACTACAGTGGTGCCCCGCAAGACGAATGCCTCGCAAGACGAAAAACCCGCTAGACGAAAGGGTTTTCCGTTTTTGAGTTGCTTTGCAAGACGAATTTCCCTATGGGCTTGCTTCGCAAGACGAAAACGTCTTGCAAGTCTTGCGATTTTTTTTGCTCCCCCCCCCTTTTTCTAAGCCGCTAAGCCGCTAATAGCCTTTTAGCCGCTAAGCCTTTAATAGCCGCTAAGCCGCTAAGAGCGCTAATCCGCTAATAGGGTTGCTTCGCAAGACGAAAAAAACCGCTAGACGAAGAGACTCGCGGAACAGATTATTTTCATCTTGCGAGGCACCACTGTACACAACATCTGAAGGCAGCCCAGTATCGGGAAGATTTTAATGTTTTATTGGTTGGGATCCGCCCAGAGTGGCTGGGGAAACTCAACCAGATGGGCAGGTACAAAGAAGAAGAAGAAGAAGAAGGAGGAGGAGGAGGAGGAGGAGGAGGAGGAGGAGGAGGAGGAGGAGGAGGAGAAGAAGAAGAAGAAGAAGAAGAAGAAGGAGGAGGAGGAGGAGGAGGAGGAGGAGGAGGAGGAGGAGAAATGGGTCCCATTAGGGGAAAAGGTGGAAAGAATGCCCTAATTCCCGCCAGGCTGGCAGCAGGAAGAAGTGCCGCCTTCTCTCCCCCCCCCGCCCCTCCCCGGGGACTCACCAGCCTCTCTCGACTGACGATCAGCAGCCCCCTTGCCCCGTTGATCTGGGCCAGCCGGACTTTCTCATAGAAGGTGCAGTTGCCCCGCATGACCATGGGGATGGTGCTGCTGAAGCCGCCGTCGGGAACGTCTGAAGGAGCACACAGGACGGAGACCGTCTGGTCCTGCAGCTGCAGCAGAGACTGGAGGAGGAAAGGAGGAAGAGGAGAACATGAGGAGAGGAAAACGGAGCCCTTTAAGCTGCTCCTCGCCTTCAGAGGAACAACAAAGGAAGCTCAGAATGCCCAAAATGCAACAAAGCAGCTCCAACAGGCCTGAGCAAAGAAAGGTGATTCACCCCAGGGCCAAAATGATCACGAAGCAGGCGCCAGCTGAGGCCCAAGGGGAGGGTGCTCTGATTCATGGAGTTGGTGCTAGCCTACAAACTCCTAAATGACTTAGGAGCCCAATCCTTGAAGGACCAGCTCCTGCCACATCAGGAAGCACGTGTGCCGAGATCTGAAAGGGAGAAATTGAATTTGACCGAAATGATCACTAGTTTTTTGTCCAAAATTAATGCTACTGAACTGTTTTTATGATACAGATAGGTAGCCGTGTTGGTCTGCCATAGTCAAAACAAAAAAATTCCTTCCAGTAGCACCTTAAAGACCAACTAAGGTAGTTCTTGGTATGAGCTTTCGTGTGCAAGCACACTTCTTGGTGTGTATCTGAAGAAGTGTGCTTGCACATGAAAGCTCATACCAAGAACTACCTTAGTTGGTCTTTAAGGTGCTACTGGAAGGAATTTTTTTGTTTTTATGATAGATTGCCATCTATCCTATATAGGATTTTGACAGATCGAATAGTCATTGCAACTTAATGGAAAACAATCCTAACTCTTACACTATGTGCTTGGCACCTCTCTGGTATATCACGTGTAATTTGAGATTTCAGTGAGGACTAGCATCTTCAGGCACTTTCAATATGATTTGGCATTCCTTTATTATGCATGTACAACGGAACCATCATTTTCAAGGCAACCCTCATCCCCAGCCATGCAAATCTTGAACTAGGCTTAATAATCTGATAACATTGTGATAGTCTTCACTTGGACTTTGTTACTTTAACCCGTGGGCAATGGAACTCATCCTACGTGGCTGCTTTGTAGTTTGGTTTCTCACCTTTCAATTTTCGTCTCTTGTTATAATTGTTCTCTGACAAAACGAAATAATAATACCTTTACACAAACACACAAAAGGTTTTCAAAGTTTATGTGTGGCACTGCATGTGACTCTTAATCTCAGAGTTACCAAGTTGGAAGGGACCTCGAGGGGCTGGCTTTCAACCTGTGTGCTGTGGCACCCTGGGGTGCCTTGAAGGATGGTTAGGGGTGCCTTTCCTCCTTCCTATGATGCCCTCTTGCATCCCTGTCTCCCCAAAATTGGACAGTTGTTTGCTGCAGCAGCTCTGGCAACAAGTTCCCCAGGTGAATGGTGCCTCTGGGGCTGGCTAGGGGGTGCTTCCTTGTGGGGCGGGGCGGCAGCTCAGAGACCAGGGGCGGCAGCTGTTTCTGCCCAGAGGACTCCCGAGGAGAGGGGGCTGAGGGAACACTCCATAAGAGAGGGTGTTCGATAAAGGGTGAGAGGTTGCCCGCTCAGCAGGCAAGGGGTGACACAACTGGGCTCCTGAGCCCCACAGGGGTGCTGCAGAAAGAATGTAGTTGGTCAAAGGAACTGTGGACTCAAAAAGGTTGAAAACCTCTGGACTAGATGACTCTTGCAGTCCCTCCCAACTCTGTGCTTCTATGACTTTCTGTGACTAATCATTAACTTGACCAAGGATGGGCTAGAGATGTAAACAGTGATGATAAGCAGGGCAGGTGCCACCCTGCCAGCTGTGGTGCCGCAGGAGCCACTCACCGCCTTGCCCAGGTCATGGGGCAGATGAGCCCATTGGGAGTTGAAGAGAATGCAGTAGTCCTTCCCCTTGGAACTCCCCTTCTCGGAGAAGACGCGGACCATGCCAAACTCACAGGAGACCTGGAAAACAGAGGGAGAAGACTTGCTTCCCATCACTCCGGCAGCATCCGGGCTCACCTCCCATAAGAATGAAAGAAAAGCCTCCAAAGGCCAAAGGGAAACCAGCAAGCAAGATTCAAGCACAAGAGCCCTCTTTTGTGGCTTCCAGCAACTGGGATGAAGAAGCATTTCTGCCTCCAACCCCGGAGGTTGGCTAACAGCCATTTATAACCTTATCTCCTCCATGAATTTGTCTAATCCTCTTTCAAGGTCATCTAAGTTTGGTGGCCATCACTACCTCCTAGGTAAGGGAGTTCTACAGATGGTGTGAATAAGTCCTGTCTTTCACCTGCCTAAATTTTCCAACATTCAGCTTCATGGGAGGCCCACAAGTCCTAGTGTTACGAGGGAGAAAACTCTCCGCACAGGACTGAATGAAAACCCAAAAGGGGCCAGAAATAGGCAGCAAGAGGAAAGCGAGGGGGTGTTGCACATCACTCCAACTTCCCATCAACTTTGCAGGCTCCCAGGTGCCCACACGATCTGGATGCAGGATGCTTTTGGAACTTCCCACACTGCTGTCCACCAGGATTCATGGGCAGACCCCCCGTCAGCCAACAGGGGGGCGCGCAAGGACATTGTGACCGGAGTTGGCAACTTGGGCTGGGAATCTCTCTCTCTCCTTCACTAGGGAAGAACCGACCACTCAACTGCTGTGGGTGTAAGATTAGAGGGCTCAGGTCTTCGTCTCCATCTGGAGGAAGGGAGAGTCTCCCAAAAGCACCACAAGCGACAAAGCCTGGCTCTCCAGAGCTGGATGCTGCAGGGAATCCCTTGAGGGCAAGGCCCCATCCTGCTGGGGTCTTCCAAGGCATGCCGTTTCTGCAGCCACTGCACCCGAGGTGCACGTCCTGTCTCTCAGGGGGCTTCAATACTCCACCCACTGGCTGCTCTCCAACAACCGGGGGGGGGGCCTTTGGGATGCGTGACTTTGTGGTGGTTGCTATCACACCCTTCTCTCCTGAGATTCTTTGAGGCGGCTCAGTTCTTCGACCACACCTTACCTGGCACCAGCCGGGATATCACCAGTTCTCTCCTCACCCTAGCAAAGTATCTACTTGCCAAGAGGGTCACAACAGCAGCTGCAAAGGACTTTGAATGTCCTGAATGAGGTTTCTGTTTTGCAGAAGAGGCTGTTTAGCTACAGGTGAGGGCAGTCACTGGCACATGCTGGCACCCCCAAACAGCTGGATGGGGGATCCCTACCAGTTGCTAAATGCAAAAAGGCAAATTAAGTTCATTGCAGGAAAAAGGCCAGCTTTCCCCCCAAGCATCCCCCACAAGATTAAGTCCCACCACCACCTTTCCTGGGGAGGTGTACCCAGGATGGCAGCGTTCTCATGACCCAGGAGGGCCACTAGGCTAGCTAACAATTCACAGGAACAACAATTTTAAACAGAGTGTCTTCCCCCACCCAAGACAAAGATTAGGTGTTTTTATTTTTGCTTTTATCTAGTTTTTAACTTTCTTTGATGCTATTTGGTTCCATTTATATTGTCACAAACCACTGTGGTATAAGTTTATGAAACAACGGTATATAGTTTTAATAAATTATTAAGTAAGAGGGCAAGGGACAAAAATAGGTTATCTCCTTGCCCAAGGCGCCTCCCTGGGGCGTCTCCCGGAGAAAGCGGCTGTGCTCACCTTCTGCCAGCGCAGAAACAAGATTTGTGGGCTGAGCAGACCCTGCAGACCTCTTCCTAGTGCACTGAGGCTGTGACAGCAGCAGCACCATCACCATCACCAAGGCGCAGGGCACAGCCCAACCTGCATCATTGGGGCAGCAAGACAGTTCATACACTTGTCAACACCCAAGCACTATGTCCTATTTCTCTCTCTCTCTCTGAATATGTTTCACACTTCCCTCCCTCCTGGTCAAAGCATTTGCCAGCAGACTTTTCCACACAGCAACTCCTAAGCCCATTACTGCTGGGGACCTAACCAAAAATGACCCTCAAACCCCAAAAGCTACCTCACCAACAGCAGGGAAGGGCTGCATCCCAATGATGGCATGCTTGCTGTGCATGCAGGATCCAGAATCAGTCCTTCCTGGAGAGCCATTGGCTGCCAGCCTGTGCGGAGGTGATGCTGAGCTGGGGACTAGCAGCCCTCTTTGTTTCAAAGGGAAAGGTCCTGCAGTTCAGCAGGGCAGAGCGCCCTGGCTCCACACCCAAAGACTGAGCACAGCAAAACAGCTTCCTGCACAACTGTTTTCATGGAGTTGCAAGGGACCCTGAGGATCATCTAGTCCAACCTTCTGCAGCACAGGAATATGACGCTGTCGAAGCGGGGATCAAACCTGCAACCTTGCCGTTATCAGCACCAGGCTCTAAGAAACTTGGCTTTCTAAGCCGCCTTGTGCATTAGCTAGGACTAGAGCTCCGCTTTGCTCCAAGGGAAGTGGTGCAGCATGCGAAGCCAATCTCGGGATCCCGGGCCAAGAGATTCCTGCCTTGCAGGGGGTTGGGCTGGAAGACCCTCGGGGGTCCCTAGCGGCCCATTTCGCGGACCGGGCAACTGAGACGCCCCCCCCCCGGGAAGAAGCCCCGCCTCCCACTGTGGAAGAAGGGCAGCCGAAGAGCCGAGCCCCGACCCCGCCTCTCAGACCCGAGGGAGGACTGGAGAGGAGGAGCCCCGCCCTCTGCATGAGAAGAGCCTCATCTTCTTCCTCCTCACCTGGACCGCCAGGAGCAGCCACGACCCGAGCAGGGCTCTCCGCCCCAGAGAAGCCGCCGCCATCGCCGCCTTTTGTCCTCCCTGGAACCCGGGGGGGGCGAGAGGGGAGGGAGGAGGTTCTGCTTCCGGTACACACCGGAAGTGAGCGCCCGGTTACCCAGCAACCCGGAAAGGAAGCCGCTCTCTCCCTCGCGCTCTCTTTCTCTTGGCGCATAGGGATGGGGGGGCGGAGAGTCACACAACCACGTTATAGACAGGGACGTTTAAAAAGCGCCGAGAGGTAACTTGGCGCCCTCAGGGCCGCTCGCGAGAGACCCTTCCGACGCTCCAGCCCGGTCTCCGCTCGCGGCGGGCGGCACTTCCGGTCTGGGACGGAAATAGGCTATCGAAATCCCCGCCTCCCTCTCGCTCTTAGGGCGACAAAGGAGTGGAGTCGGGAGCCCGAGGCCTAGAGTGGCAAGACAGCGCCGGCAGGAAGAGGCGGGGCTCGCGGGTTGGTTTCTTGCTGCTACCATTGGAGGAGCGGTGAGGCGGGGCCTGTTTGAAAGCGGGCGGAAGTGGCGCGGAAGCGGGATGCCTGTGGAGAGCAAGATGGCGGTGAGTAGAGCAGAGGGGGTGGGGGGGGGAGAGGGAATGTATGCAGATTTATGCAGGCGGCGCAACGACCAGGTGGGCGAATGAGGCGCTGACGTCATGCAGGCGAGGCCGGATAGGCTGCGCCTGGAGGGGGAGGCTCCATCGCGGCTCATCTCCTCGTGCGGGGGAAGAGCAGGTGTCGCAGGCCGAGGCCCGGGGGCCGGAGATCCCGCGTCGCTCGCCTCTCGGGCCCTTGGAAGAGCCGCTGCCGGGCAGCGAGGACGCAGGCGGAATAGAGCCGCAGAGTTGCCCCCCCCAGGGGTCATCCAGCAGAACCGCCGACGAGGCAGGAATCGCAGCAGCAGAAGAAACCCTGAGAGGCGCCCAGATCCAGACTCTCCTTGAGAACCTCCCAGGAAGCCCTGCCGAAGCCTCTGGAGCAGCAGCAAACCGGCCTTTCCCATGTGGCCAGTGGCTCCCCAGCCTGAACACCCTGGACCCCTCCTGTGTTCAGAGCAGCTGGGCAAAGCCGGCAGGGTTGTTTTAAGGTCAGGAGGCGTCTCTTGCCTGGGCCTCCTCCCTTTGGTGCACCCACTTGGTGGGAGTTTCCCAAGGCAGGCAGGATGAGGTGGCCCAGTGCAGGAAGGCTTTTGGCCCTGGCACAATGTGGCAAGGAGGACGGGGAGGAAATCAGAAAGTGTTGGCTTTGGCTCTGGCCCACTCACTGGCCGCTTCCTCTGTCCCAGCTAGCTCAGTACTGTCGACTGGCAGCTGCCCTCCAGCATTTTAAGCAGGGAGCATTCCCAGCCCGACCCAGCGATGCCATGGGGAGGGGGTTAAACCTGAGCCCTCAGTGGGCTAAAATGATGACTGTTTGAGTCCCCCAATTTACTTTAAAACAAGCTGGAAACTGAGTTCACCTGAGCCCCCATTTCTCCCACCTTGATTTAGGACAAAGAGAAGAAGAAGAAAGAAAGTATATTGGATCTGTCTAAGTACATTGATAAAACCATCCGTGTGAAGTTCCAGGGTGGCCGGGAAGGTAAGCAGAGTCTCCATAGCACCTCTGCTATTGGGGACCCGACACTGTGCCTGTCACCGCCTCTTCATGATTCAGGTCTGAGGACGGATCTGTTCTCCTTTGCGGCCAGATTACATCGCTGGTGTGCTTCGTCTCTGGCATAATCCTGCTTGCTAGGGAATCACCACTGTAATATGCAGAATGTAACTGTAACATCAAAGCTTTCTGCGTTCAGCCTTGGCGTGGTTCCCAATGGCTCCTGACTGTTTTTCCTTGTTTTCCCACAGCTAGCGGTGTCTTGAAAGGATTTGACCCCCTTCTAAACCTCGTGCTGGATGGGACCATTGAGTATATGAGAGGTGCGTTTAAGACCCCATGACCCCCCTGTCAGGAGTTCAGGCTACACCCGACTGGCATGTTCCCTCCCTCCCTCCTGGTTGATCATTCGAGAGCTTCATAAGCTTTCTTCAGCCCAAACATCACAGCGACCGATGCCAACAGACATCGGCACACTTATGGATCCGCAGGGTTATCGCAGCATACGCGGGACAGACCTCAGCAATTCAGCATGTTGGCTAATCTAATTTATTTACATATAAACACACACGGAGCATTGCAACATGGCTCCCTCTTTCTCTAGCATCAGACAGCAAAGAGAAAAGAACAAAGGACAATAGTCCCACTTCACGGAACACAGTAACACAAGCATCCTGTCTTCATCAATTCCCACTCTGTGGAGTCAAAACACACTGTCATGTGATAGACAACAATCCCATGACTGCAATCATGGAGCAGGAATTCTAACACCCCCCACAGCAAGCAGGTGACAGGAAAGGAGCAAGCTCTTCTCCATGAATTTTCCCCATCCTCTGCAGGATCAGGCCATGGTCCTTCTCCCCCTTTCTGTAGTGGCAAACTAGATGCCCCAACAGACAGGAGAACAAAGGCTCCCAACTAACTGGGCTGGTTCTGTGTATCACCCATGGCTAACAATCATCAAGGAGACCTGTCCAGTCACAGGTTGTTCTGTTCTCCACCTGCTCCTACTCAGAGTGGACCCACTGAGATTCAAGGGCACAGCTGGCTTGGGCCCAGTAATTTCTGTAGTTCTGAGTGGGATACAGCCTAGCGCTGCTGCCACAGCTGATCCCAGGGGGCCCTTGTCTTGCTGAGGGATGTTGAGCCTCAGCTCCTGGCTCCCGGGTCTGAGTTCCAGACGCTGACTTTGGTGCAGAAAAGCACCCCCAGGGCTTGAGAGCAGGATAGCTGGCAGGACCCAGTGTTGTAGCTCTTTCTGGGCTTTTTCCTTTGCAGATCCAGATGACCAATACAAGCTCACAGAGGACACCCGTCAGCTGGGACTGGTGGTCTGCCGAGGGACCTCGGTGGTCCTCATCTGTCCCCAGGATGGGATGGAAGCCATTCCCAACCCCTTCATTCAGCAGCAAGACGGCTAAGCCACTCTGGGCTCTTTCTGCAGCTAAAATCTTGAGAGGACTCGGAGGGCCAGCCCCCGCTGACAAGAATGGACTTTCCTGCAAAGGGAACATATTTTTGTATGCTATGTTTATACTGGCAAAGGACCTTGTTAACTTATGTAAGGTGGTTGTTACTGCATTTTAGTTATCCCCCCCCCCATTTTGACACTGTATCTCACAAGGAAGAAGGTGTTTTGTCAGGATATGCCCTGAAAACTATTTCAGAAAATAACCTTGTTTTGCTGTGAACTTTTGACTCCAGTCTAGAGCCACTGAAATAGCGTGCTGTGTTTATGTAAAATATTACACAGGAAGATGAGGTTTTTTGTTGTTGTTCCTTTTACCTCTTTGGCAAAGGCCACAGCTGTTCTGTTCTCAGAGCTTTGGAGGGGACTGCCCATTTCCCCTTTGGGTTAATGGTGTCTGCCTTCCTTTCTCCAGGATGGTTGTCTGCCCAGGAGGGGTCAAGCGCTTTGCCAAATGTCAAGAACTGTAATGACACCTGTGTCCAACTCCTCTTAATTTCCAGGCGGTGACTCTTTCCTTTTTAGGAGAATTCCTGAAAATCCATGAATAAAAAGCTATCCAAAACTGGCCTAGAATTTGTTAGACTCTTCTGCTTTGAAATGTGATATCAAAACTTTGGGAGAGGATGGGAGCCATCTAACCTATCACCAATCTCTTTGAATTGAGTGTAGATGCCTGACGTGCAGCCACAATGAAAATGTAGCAACTACTTCATTCTCTGCTCAAGCAGCACTTCCCTTTACTTGGCTTCTTTAGTTGCAGACGTCAGTAGCACAGCAAAGAGACCTGCGAGGAGTGAGTGTGTACCCCAGGAATGAAGATGTCCGAAGAGCCTGCTGGATCAGGCCCATCTAGCCCAGCCTCCTGTCTTTGCAGTGGTCAAGCTTCCCTAAGAACCCAGGAATCCAGACAAGGCAGCAATGCTTCTGAATACCAGTTGCTGGAAATCACAGGAGGGGAAAGCTGCTCTCTTGCTCGGATCCTGCTTACAGGTTTCCCACCTGGTTGGCCACTATGAGAAGAGGAGGCTGGGATAGATGGACCTGATCCAGCAGCCAGGCTTTTCCAATGCTGCTGTGGAATATCCAGTTTCAGAGGATCCCTAGGTTCTTTGGGGCTCCTGTGACATGGTCTGGCAGCCACACTCTTCTGACATTCTTGTGGAACTCCCAGGTGCAGAGGCAGTCTCTCTTGTTCCCAGCAGGGAAAGAGGGACGTTGGGCTTGGCCTGACCCAGCAGCTCTTCTTACATCCTGACGACGCCTCACTAGCTGTCTGGGCAGCTGAGGGAGCCAGAAGGGAGGGATCTATTTTTAGGGGCTGAGTTGCTGCTATATCCGTCTTGGCTGCCTGGCCAAAGCCCTCCTGCGCAGCCCAAAGTGTGGCCTGCTTGCACCCAGTGAACATGGCTGGCCTGGAGGGGGCGTCTTCTGGGGCCCAGTCAGGAGGCCACGTGGTCCTGGAGGTGGGCGACAGGCAGTTCCCTGTTGAGCGCTGCGCCTTGGCCCGCTACAGTCGCTACTTCGAGGCCATGTTCTTTGGGGACACACGTGAGCGCACAGCCCCTCGGATCCGGATCCAGGGCCTGGACCCCACTGCCTTCCAGGCCCTGCTGGCCTTCACACAGACGGGCAGCCTCCTTCTTGACCGCAACAATGTCACAGAGCTGCTGGAGGCAGCTGACTTCCTGCAGCTGAACTGCGCCAAGCGGCTCTGTGAGGCATTTCTGGAGAGGGAGCTGCACGTCTCCAACTGCCTTGGTTTCCTGGCCTACGCGCAATGCTTCTCCTGCGCCCACCTGCAGGCGGCTGCACTCTCTGTGGTGCTCTCACACTGGGCCGAAGTGGCTTCTGGCGAGGAGTTCATGGAGGCCCCTGCAGAGACGCTGCGGGTGCTGCTGCGGAGCGACGATCTCTTTGTGAGCCGCGAGGAGGCAGCCTTTGAGGCGCTGCTGCAGTGGGCAACTGCTGACCCTGCTGGGCGGGAAGCAGTCTTCCTGGAGCTGGCAGGCCTCATCCGCGGACCCTTCCTGAGGCTGCCCTTCCTGGAGCGGCTGGTGCAGCGATGCAAGAGCCCCCCAGGGCAGGACAGCTCGGGACGGCTGCTGCAAAAGCTGGATGCTTGCCTTCCTGCCAGCTGGAGACAGGCAGGCCTCTCACCTTGTGTGGGGCGCAGCCATGAGGTCCTCTTTGTCCTGGCTGGCAAACACGACCAAGAGCAGCAGGAGCTTTTCCAATTCCAACCGAAGACAGAGGTGTGGCAGACCCGGGCGCCCCTCCGGCGCAAGAACCTCACCCAGTATGCTGTGGCTGCCATCGGTAACTCTTCTGGCTTCTGAACTTGCACAGAGTGTGAGCCAGCCTGCATGTGGCTGGCATTTTCCCCATGCCATTGAGAGTCCGGTCTCTGCTTTGGTGCCCTCTGGGTTGGTGTGGGTGGGCAGAGGGTTTCACCTTGAAGTTTGCGTCTAGTGGAATGCTAGGTGGGAGAGTGCCAGCTGTGGCTACCTGGTGCCAGGAGGTTTGGCTGCACCCTGCACATGCTCAGAGGTTCCCTTTTCTTTAGAATTGCTTCCTGCTTTGCAAGAAGCCTGGGGGGGAAAGCTTCTACAAAGTGTACTGCTGTGCCATGGCCTTGCCTGATGTGGGTGGTGCTGCGGTCTAAACCACTCAGCCTCTTGGGCTTGCCAATCAGAAGGTCAACAGTTCGAATCCCTGTGATGGGGTCCTGTTGCTCTGTCCCAGCTCCTGCCAACCTAGCAGTTCAAAAGCATGCTGGTGCAAGTAGATACAGTAAATGGGTGCCACTGTGGCAGGAAGGTAAACGACATTTCTGTGTGCTCTGGTTTCTGTGACAGTGTCCCGTTGCACCAGAAACAGTTTAGACCCAGAAATAATAATAACGATAATGATGATGCTCCTGTAACTGGGTTACCCCGGCCACTCTGGGTGGCTTCCAACAAAATGCTAAAACACAGAAGTCTCCAAACTCCCTGTCTTGGGCTGCCTTCCAATAGATGTTTATTTCCTGGCCATGTCTCCCTCAGCCTCAATTCACCCTGTCTCATAGAATCATAGAATCATAGAGTTGGAAGAGACCACAAGGGCCATCGAGTCCAACCCCCTGCCAAGCAGGAAACACCATCAGAGCACTCCTGACATATGGTTGTCAAGCCTCTGCTTAAAGACCTCCAAAGAAGGAGACTCCACCACACTCCTTGGCAGCAAATTCCACTGTCGAACAGCTCTTACTGTCAGGAAGTTCTTCCTAATGTTTAGGTGGAATCTTCTTTCTTGTAGTTTGGATCCATTGCTCCGTGTCCGCTTCTCTGGAGCAGCAGAAAACAGCCTTTCTCCCTCCTCTATGTGACATCCTTTTATATATTTGAACATGGCTATCATATCACCCCTTAACCTCCTCTTCTCCAGGCTAAACATGCCCAGCTCCCTTAGCCGTTCCTCATAAGGCATCATTTCCAGGCCTTTGACCATTTTGGTTGCCCTCCTCTGGACACGTTCCAGTTTGTCAGTGTCCTTCTTGAACTGTGGTGCCCAGAACTGGACACAGTACTCCAGGTGAGGTCTGACCAGAGCAGAATACAGTGGCACTATTACTTCCCTTGATCTAGATGCTATACTCCTATTGATGAGGCCCAGAATTGCATTGGCTTTTTTAGCTGCCGCGTCACACTGTTGGCTCATGTCAAGTTTGTCGTCAACCAAGACTCCTAGATCCTTTTCACATGTACTGCTCTCAAGCCAGGTGTCACCCATCTTGTATTTGTGCCTCTCATTTTTTTTGCCCAAGTGCAATACTTTACATTTCTCCCTGTTAAAATTCATCTTGTTTGTTTTTGCCCAGTTCTCTAAACTGTCAAGGTCGTTTTGAAGTGTGATCCTGTCCTCTGGGGTGTTAGCCACCCCTCCCAGTTTGGTGTCATCTGCAAATTTGATCAGGATGCCCTTGAGTCCATCATCCAAGTCGTTGATAAAGATGTTGAATAAGACCGGGCCCAAGACAGAACCCTGTGGCACCCCACTAGTCACTCTTCTCCAGGATGAAGAGGAACCATTGATGAGCACCCTTTGGGTTCTGTCAGTCAGCCAGTTACAAATCCACTGAGTGGTAGCATAGTCAAGACCGCATTTTACCAGCTTCTTTACAAGAATATCATGGGGCACCTTGTCAAATGCCTTGCTGAAATCAAGGTAGGCTACATCCACTGCGGTCTCATACCTCTTTGGGGCATCAGGGAACCCCAATGGAAATGGGGGCAGAAATAGCCATTGTCCCCCAGTTCTATGTAAGCAGTTGGTTGTCCCCACCTCATCCTTGTTGCTTTTGCTTCACACCAAAACAAATGCAGGATGTGAAATATCACCCCTTGGAGACGAACTGCTTTGCTTTCATCAGGAGGCAATGTGCAGTGGAAGCGAAGCCTCTCTGTGTGGTGGGTCCGTGGTGGAAGGGGAAACGGCATCTCTTGCACTCTCTCCACAGGCAACTTCCTCTTTGTGACGGGCGGCTACTTCCGCGAGGAGTTCTCCTGGTGCAGCGTGGGCTGGGTGCTGATCTACAACAGCTGGGACGACAACTGGCTGGATGGCCCGGCCATGAAGACGGCACGCCACAGCCACTGTGCTGTGGGGGTGGGCTTCCACCTCTATGTGATGGGTGGCAGCACTGAGGAGGGGGCTGTCACGCCTGAGGTGGAGCGCCTGGCACCCACAGACTCTTCCTGGGAGAGCACCAGCCCCCTGGCCCACCCCGTGGAGAGGGCCGGGGCGGTTAGTGTGGGGTCTCGTGTCTACGTCATCTGTGGCCTGGACGAGAATGGAGATGTCTGCCATGCTGTCCAGCGGCTGGACGTGGAAACGGACATCTGGGATGTGATCTCCTTCTCACCTCTCCCTAGGTGAGGCGGCTCTGGAGGTTGGGATGTTAGAGGTGGGGGGCACATCCTGCTCCTTCTGGAGTAGTGTGTCCACCTTGGGTCGTCGTCCCCCCCCCCCGCACTCAGCTCCCACCTGTGGCTCCTAGAAGCTTCTCCTAGGCTTCTCCTGCACGTGAAGACAGGCTTTGGTGGGCAGAGCGGACATGACCAGGAGGGGATCCAACGGACAAGCAGGCAATTTCTGCACATGCTGTAGAGCAGGGGTGTCAAACTCAAATTCATCGGGGGCCGCATCAGCAGTTTGGTCACCCTCAAAGGGCCGGTTGTATCTGTAGGACTTACAGTACAGGAGAGAAGGGTTCAGGCAGCTGTTGGATCTGTCACATCACGGGATGGCATGCGCTCAATATAAAAACAAGTGGAGGCATGTAAAGTGGAGGTTTCCTGTGTAGAACGGCCGGCGCCGCTAGAGGGCAGACGTTCTCTGGCTTGTAGGCTGCCGCGCATGCGCTGAAGAGGCGGCTTTCTTGTGTCAAAAAAAAAAAAGCAAGAATAAAAGGTGAAGGCTGGCGGCCGGCGGCGGTACATGGGCCACATGACGAGGTCTGGCGGGCCGGATTCAGCCCGCGGGCCTTGTGTTTGACACCCGTGCTGTAGAGAGAAGTGAGGGGCTGGTGGAGCTCGTCCTCCTGGGAAGGAAGTCCATTGGGAAGGAAAACTCTGGTCCTCATCCTCCACTGTGTTGTTAATGGGGCAGGAGATCTGGAAAATAATTCACATCTGGCAACCAATGCGCCATTTTGTTTTCAGATAGGAAATGGGGTAAAGGTAAAGGGACCCCTGGCCAATAGGTCCAGTCATGACCGACTCTGGGGTTGCGGCGCTCACCTCGCTTTACTGACCAAGGGAGCCGGTGTACAGTTTCCGGGTCATGTGGCCAGCATGACTAAGCCGCTTCTGGCGAACTAGAGCAGCGCACGGAAATGCCGTTTACCTTCCCGCCGGAGCAGTACCTATTTATCTACTTGCACTTGGACGTGCTTTGAAGCTGCTAGGTTGGCAGGAGCAGGGACCGAGCAACTACCTTCTGAACAGCAAGTCCTAGGCTCTGTGGTATAACCCACAGCGCCACCCGTGTCCCTAGTAAATCATAGAATCATAGAATCATAGAATCATAGAGTTGGAAGAGACCACAAGGGCCATCGAGTCCAACCCCCTGCCAAGCAGGAAACACCATCAGAGCACTCCTGACATATGGTTGTCAAGCCTCTGCTTAAAGACCTCCAAAGAAGGAGACTCCACCACACTCCTTGGCAGCAAATTCCACTGTCGAACAGCTCTTACTGTCAGGAAGTTCTTCCGAATGTTTAGGTGGAATCTTCTTTCTTGTAGTTTGGATCCATTGCTCCGTGTCCGCTTCTCTGGAGCAGCAGAAAACAGCCTTTCTCCCTCCTCTATGTGACATCCTTTTATATATTTGAACATGGCTATCATATCACCCCTTAACCTCCTCTTCTCCAGGCTAAACATGCCCAGCTCCCTTAGCCGTTCCTCATAAGGCATCATTTCCAGGCCTTTGACCATTTTGGTTGCCCTCCTCTGGACACGTTCCAGTTTGTCAGTGTCCTTCTTGAACTGTGGTGCCCAGAACTGGACACAGTACTCCAGGTGAGGTCTGACCAGAGCAGAATACAGTGGCACTATTACTTCCCTTGATCTAGATGCTATACTCCTATTGATGAGGCCCAGAATTGCATTGGCTTTTTTAGCTGCCGCGTCACACTGTTGGCTCATGTCAAGTTTGTGGTCAACCAAGACTCCTAGATCCTTTTCACATGTACTGCTCTCAAGCCAGGTGTCACCCATCTTGTATTTGTGCCTCTCATAAATGGGGTAGACAAGTCCAAAAAGCCCAGGACACAAATTTTCATGGCCCCCTCACAGCTGTGGTTGCTCATGTTTAAACTTATCTATCCACGTACTCGTATCTGAAACCCAAGAGGCCCATTGGTTGTCAGGTGGGAAAAATATTGGCTTTACAGTGGTACCTCAGGTTACATACGCTTCAGGTTACATACACTTCAGGTTACAGACTCCGCTAACCCAGAAATATTACCTCGGGTTAAGAACTTTGCTTCAGGTTGAGAACAGAAATCGTGCAGCGGCAGCGCAGTGGCAGCAGGGAGGTCCCATTAGCTAAAGTGGTGCTTCAGGTTAAAAACAGTTTCAGGCTAAGAATGGACCTCCGGAATGAATTAAGTTCTTAACCCGAGGTTCCACTGCACTGTATTTTCAGCTCTCTGAATGCAATACATGGAATATCTTCATAACCCTCCACAAATCCAGAGCAGAGCCCCTAAGGCGGCATGGCACCTGGTATGCCTCCTTCTGGCAATTTGAAAATTCAAAAGAAAAATCTTAACTTTAATAATCGAAATAGAAAATGTTAAGATAACCAAAATAATTGAACAGAAAATAATCAAACTCTGCAGTTGTTGTCCTCTCGCTGATGCCTTCCTGACCTGCAATGGGCGCCTGCGCTTTGGGGCTTTCACCCTGATTGTGACAGCCTCCCCCCTTGACCCTGGGCCAAGACGGCCTCTTCTGAGCCAGGATGCGCCTTCAGAACTTGGAGGCACCTGCTGTCCATCTGCAGATTTGCCAATCATCCCTCACACTGTCCATTCCCCCATTTCTCCATCAAATTTGGCTCTTCCTCCCCATTCCCAAAGGAAGCCCAGTCTCCTTCTAAATGCAGCAGTAAACTCCTGACCGCCTAGGCTGAGGGATGTCCAGAGCTGCTTTGCACCTGGGACACCTCCAGGCAAGCAAGCCCAAAGCAGGGATGATTTGCATCAGGAACAGGAGGGGGAGAAGGAAGATCTGCCTTGGGATCAGCTGCCCCCTGGCGGTCACCTCCCCATGCCTCCTGAGGTGTAGGCACCTGCCTGACGCTCTCCTCTCTCCATCCCCAGGTATGACCTCTGCGTTGTGGCTCTGAATGGGGCCATCTACACTGTGGGAGGGGGCGCCTTCCGTTTTGATGTGGACTCGGGAGAGTGGACACCGGTGGAGGAGGAGTGCCTGGCGCGACGGTTCTTCACAGGGTGCAGCGCAGCCAATGGCAGGATCTATCTCCTGGCGCAGAGACAGGGCAACACTGCACTCCCCAACATGGTTCTCTTGGACCCTTACCTGGAGATGTGCCAGGAGGTGGACAGCAAGCTCCCCTGCCCGCTGCCCATCCACGGGACAGCCTCCATGCGTAGATTTGACATTTGCGCATGACGCGGTATGCCAACACCCTCCAAGGCAGCAGTGTGGGAGACGGAGAGCGGGAAAAGTCGGCTGCCCTGTTCTTTTTCTCCTTCATTTTGGAACGAAAGAGACCGTTTGGGTATCCAGCCATCTGTGGTGAAGCCCCACAGAAGGAGTGGAGTGCAGATAGCCTGCTCCTGCAGAGGGGGCTCGGTGGGACTGGGCCTCCCCTCTTTGTATGGCGGAGGCAGAGCTGCACACCACCTCCTGGCCAGCGCTCGTGTTCCTGGCAAAGCTGCCTCTCTGCTCCCTCTCTGAGCTGATTTCAAATGACAGGGAGAGGAACTTGAACATAATAAGAATAAATGCAAGTTGCCAACCAGCACATTGATGGGATCAATCAGCGAGTTTGGGGGAAATGAGTGAAACGAAGTCAGGATGTTGGAGACGTGTGAGATGGCAGTGATACTGATGTGGCCATTGGGTTTCAGTCCTGATCCAGATTGTGGTGTGTCAGGGCCAAGGTAGGGGTGGGGGCTGCATGGGGGTCATTTTGCAGCAAATCCCTCCAACTTCTGTTTCCTTGCCTGAAAGCACAGCTGGAGGGGGCCCACGTGGAAGGGAATGTGGTGGAGATGGGAGTCCCCAAAACTGCCCCCATTGTAGGGGTCCCTATGCTCCTCCTACCTGTGAAGATATCCTGTTTATTAGTTGCATTTACTGCTCTCCCTCACCTCAACTAGGCTACAGAGCGTTTGCAAGTTCTCCAAGTAAATCATCGGGCTGCCTCCCGCTTCGCAATGCACCTCCCCAGGGACCCCGAGGGACTTCTTTTCCAACCCCCTGCAATGCAGGAATCACAGCAATGGAATCCCTAACAGATGGCCATCCAACCTCTGCTTAAAAACCTCCAAAGGAGGAGAATCTACCTTCTTCTGAGGGCAACAGAGCAGTCAAACAAACCTAAATTTGGCATTGGACTCCTTCCTGCAAAATACTAACCCCACCATAATTGCTGCACCACAATTGTCCAGGAGAGGGAGCCATAGGCTGCCTGTAGCCTGGATAAATGGAGGATGAGGCAGGATGGTTTGGGGAGTGTGGGGTGAGCTGCCTTCCCCTGAGGCCATGGACACATTAGCACCTTAAAAAGCACCAAGGTCCTTTCCACACACACCCTCTTCTCCCCACTGCTGCATTGTAAGTCGCCCCTTGCTGTCCATATCTGCAATCACTGCCCATCACTCCTGCTCACAAGTTGCATCTGTGCATGTGTAAAGGCTGTGTCAAATGTTTGCTTTGCTGAAGCTAGTTTGAGGGTGGCTTGGGAAGTTTATGTGTGTCATTAGAGAGCCAGAGTGTTGGATTGGGACCTGTGAGACCTAAGTTCAAATCCTCCTACCTCGCCCATAGAAAGCTCCCTAGGTGGCCTTGGAGGCCAGGCGCTGCCTCTCAGCCGATATCCCAGTGTGGTTTTGCCATGTGCACCATGTTACGCTCCCAGGAGATATAAACACAATCAATGAATGAATCAATGCAGCATGTCAGACCGTAGAATACCTTTACTGGTTTCGAGGAGCAGAAATGAAGACTGAACTTACGAAGCCAGAGGGACTCTGTATATGCCCCAGAGTCCTCTTGCAGGCAGCGTCCTCTGAGATCTTGGGCAGAGTCAGCCATGGTGGCGCTGTGGCTTAATGTGTCCGGGAGATGGGTGGAAGTGCAAGTCAGGCCACCAATGCCCAGGCGATCTTGGCCTCCTCATTTTGGCAAGGGGAAGGAGAACATAGCCATTGGGGGCAACCCACTGCGCCAGTAGCTGCATCTGTCGTGAATTCTCTTTCAGAGCAGATGAGCGCCTGGTACTGCTTCCTAATGCAGGGAGTTCCACAGCTTAACACAACCCCCTCTGTGAGAAGAAGACCTTTCTTTTGTCCCCCCTGAATCTTCCAATGTTTTCCGCGCAGAGTCAAAACCTGAGCATGGCAGGGAAGGGGATCCTAGGAGCAACTGTTAGGGAGATGCAGAATCCCCCCCCCCCCGGGACTGAATGAAGGCAAAAGCGCTCAAGCCCAGATCTCCCTGGCCAATCGCGTTGTGAGAGAGGAAGAGTCTCCCTTCCCTTGAATTCGCCCTCGTGCGCAGACGGCAGCCGCGAAAGATCCGTGTGGCGCACCCGGAGGTCCGCAGAGGGTCCGGACTCCCGGCCGTTTTCACGGCGCTCCGGTGGTAGGACGGTGGACGCGGCAGAGACGGGGACCCCCACCTTAGGGCGGGGTCCCACCCCGGGAGCAGTGCTTGGGGACGTCCCTGAGCTGCAGGTCCTCGCGGGGCGTCCAGGGCCGGGCGTAGCCGCCCCGGGGCAGCAGCAGGCGGTTGAGGGTGTGCTCGTAGTTGACGTGGCGCCGAGCCATCAGGACGTACTCGCGCTGCTCAGCCAGCAGCGGGCAGTCGCAGGCGTCGGGCACCCAGACGAACTCGCGTCGCACGACGGGGAAGCGGTTGTGGTAGGTGTGCAGCACATGCACGTCGTAGCGCGTCTCCTGCCCCACCCGGCGCTTGGAGAGGATTCGGGCGCGGAAGACTGCGCAGGCAGGGGAGAAAGGAGGTCAGGAGGGGGGCTCTCCCGCAGCGGCCCCCCAGGGGAAGAGCCCCTCGAGGGAGGGCTCTCCTCATCCAGCTCCCCTCTCCACCCATAACAACATCCCAAGAACTCAGGAGCTTTGGGGATAACAGGAAAGGGGGTGGGGGTTCCTTGGCATGGGACCCTCTACGCTCCTCCCCACCTTGGCCCTGGAGGGAGGAGAGAGACTGTGGCAGTTTGGACTAGATGACCCTTGAGGTTCCCTTCCATGCGGAGGGGCCACGTACCAAAGTCGCTGTTGCAGTAGTGGTGGATGCGCTGGGATTTTCCCCTGGGAGAGTCGCACACCCCGCACAGCCCTGCAGGATGAGAAGAAAGCATTTTGTGGGGGGAAAGGGGGGGCACTGACCGCCTTCTATTTTATGAGTAGTCCTTCCTGCACTTCAACCCTGCCCTATTTCCCCCTACAAGTGTGGGGCGGCGTCTGGGGCTCTGGCAAAAGCCCTGAGAAGCAGGTCCGGCCAAGAGGTGGTGGCTGGTGGGATTTGGAGAGTTGCATGTGGCCTGGAAACCCAGTTCCATGCGAGAGGCATGCACACAATCAAGCCCACCCACCCCCACTCCCCAAAGAATCCTGGGAACTGCAGTTTGCACAGCGCTGAGCTACAGTTCCCAGTACCTGGGGTTCTAGTCAGGGGCTTCTTCTACTCCTCAGGCTTTTCTTTTGCTGGGTTGGGGGGAGAAGGCTGCCAGAAAACAGCCTGGGCTTTGTGGGTTCTGTGGCAAAATGTTGCACTAATGAACTCACAAGCTGGGGAGCTGCCTACGCATGCCGAGAGCCAGGAATCCCACCTCAAATTATGGGGTGGGAGCAGCCCAAGGCTCCCAGGGTGCCTGGAGGGTGCGAGCTGCTGAAAGCAGCAGAATTTATGGAGAAATTTATTCATTTCATGGCACTTCTATCCGCCTCTTCCTCCAAGCAGCTCCAGGAGGCTCCTGTGGCCCTGATCCCACACCAGCCCTGTGAGGTAGGCAAGACAGAGAGAGGCAGGGACTGGCCCCCAAGGTCACCCAGGGCGCTTGGGTAGCTCAGTCATTCCTCCATCGCTGGGGGTTGGGCTAGATGACCCTTGGGGTCTCTTCCAACTCTACAGTTCTATGATTCTATGAAAACAGGACATTGGAGCTGGAGGAGGGGGAAAGCAAGGGGACGGCAGACATGGGATCAGGGTCTGCATGGGTGGGTACCTTGGAACAAATGCTACCAAATCCCTCAAATCTCCTAGATTTCCAACAAGAAAATGTTTCTTTCTAAGAGCACTCCACTCCTGCACCCTGAAACTATTGTGGGGGTGAAGGAAGGAGAGATGGACAGAGAATGGGGGGGGAGAGATAGAATTGAGGATACCTGAGCTCCCTGGGGGCACTTTGGCTGGCAAGGGCGTTCCCTCCCACTGAGGCGTCTTCCTGGCAATGTCGTTTTGGGAGGGCGGGGCTGGCAGGATGGCTGGGTGCTCCCTTGGTGAGCCATCCCCGACTTCCCTGGTCTGGGGCTGGCGAAGGGGGCTGGCGTCACTCTGGATGGGGTGGAAGTGCTCTTTTGGGAGCCAGAACTGGAACTCAATGCCCGCGTTGGGCTCCTGGAAAAGGACCTGAGGCAAGAAACAGGCATTGGGTGCATGGGCGAGACCCAGTTAATATCTTTTGCACCCAGGTGGAAAACCCCCAAACAATTCCCTGGCCCATCTCACCATGACCAGCAAGTCCTCCTGGGTGGGTCCGGCTGCCTCAAGGCTCTCGTGGGCGTCCGCTGTGCGAGTGTAGCGGACTTGGGTGCCTCCTGCCTCATACGTCCCTGGCCAGTCAATGGCCCAGTCACCGTTGATGACGTAGCGCTGGTTTGCAGTCATCAGAGCTGGGGAGGGAAAGGAAGGACGTTTGGGGGAAGCTTTTGGGGGAGTTTTTGGCTGGCCCCCTCCTCCCCAGCCAACCAGCCCAGAACCCCCAAGGGAGCCTCTGGGTGCCTCCAGTTTCAGAGGAGGCATGGGGAGCTACCACAGGCAGGGCCTGCTTGGGGTGGCCCCTCAGGGTAATGCCACTGTCCTTGGAGCTCAAGAGGGGTGTTTGTGCAGAAAGTAGCTGTTCGGCAGCCGAACTCTCTTGGAAGGTGGTGGGCTCTCCTTCCTTAGAGGCTTTTAAAGAGAAGTTGGGTGTCCATCTGCCAGGGATGCTTTTGCTGCAATTCCTGCATCACAGGGGGTTGGGCTAGATGACCCTTGGGGGCCCCTTGCAATGCTTCTAGGATTCATGAGAGGTTTTTAAATGGAAGATGGGTGGCCACCTGCCAGGGTTCCTGAATGTGTGTCCATTTTGTAAAAGTGCAGTTTCAAAATAGGCAGTTGGTAGGATCTTGCCCCCCCCACCACCACCACAAGGGGTCAGCAACAGGCATGGGGGTGGGAATAGGAACCTGCCCAGCAGCCCCTCCTACCGAGGTAATTGCGGCTGCTGTCTGTCACCTTGATGTGTCTGGCGCCTGCCGGGATCTGAGTGACATTCTGGTAGCCAAAGTAACCTGTGAAGCAATCAGAGGAGAGCGGGTCAAGTGCAGGGGGGGGGAGACCACTGGGGAGGGAGGGGGGCTGCCCAGGGGGAGGCAGCCAGGGGGTGAAGGGGAACTGCATGTTTTTTTTGGGGGGGAGGCTCAGAGTGTGACGTGCAGCACTGGACAGAGGGCTTCCTCAGACATACTACTTGAAATGTCAGGAGTTGGATGGACACCTGTCAGAGATGCTCTAGCTGAGATTGCTGCCCTGCAGGGGGTTGGGCTG